AAAAAAAAAACAAAAAAAAAAAAACAATGGAATCTTGAAATTTGCAGGAAAATGGATGGAACTAGAAGAAACCAATCTGAGCGAGGTAACCCAGTCACAAAAAGACAAAAATGGTATGCACTCACTCATATGTGGATTTTAGACATAGAGTAAAGGATTACCAGCCCACAATCCACACTGCCAGAGAAGCTAGTAAACAAGGAGGCCCCTAAGAGAGACATATATGGTCCTCTGGAGAAGGGGAAAGGGTCAAGATCTCCTGAGCAAATTGGGAGCATGGGAAGAGTGGGGAGGGAGCTAGAAGAATGAGAAAGGGAGAAGAGGAAGGGTGAGGAAGACATGTTCAAGCAGAAAGGTTGAGTCGGGGGAAGAAAACAAGAATGAAGATACCATAATAGAGGGAGACATTATAGGGTTACACAGAAATCAGGCACTAGGGAAATGTCTGGAGATCTACAAAGATGACACCAGCTAACTATCTAAGCAACAGAGGAGAGGCTACTTTAAATGCCCTCCCCTGATAATGAGATTGATGACTGACTTATATGCCACCTGATAGCCCTCATCTAGCAGCTGGTGGAAGTAGAAGCAGACTCCCACAACTACTCACTGAACTGAACTAGAAACCAGTTGCAGAGAAGGACGAGTGATGAGCAAAGGGGTCCAGACCAGGCTGGTGAAACCCACAGAAACAGCTGACCTGAACATCAGGGAGCTCTTGGTCCCAAGACTGATAGCTGGGATACCAGTATGGGACTGATCCAGACCCCAGGAACGTGGCTTTCAGTGAGGAAACCTCGGGAATCTATGGGACCTTCTGTAGTAGTTCAGTACTTATTCCTAGTATAGTGTGGACTTTGGGAGCCCATTCCACATAGAGGAATACTCCCTGAGCCAAGACACACGGGGGTGGGCCTAGGCCCTATCCCAAAGGACATGATAGACTTTGATGACACCCTATGGATGGCCTCACCCCTCAGGGGGAGCAGAAAGGATATATGATAGGTAGGGCTTTAATTGGGGGGGAGGGTTGTAGGGGAGGAGGGGAGAGAGAACTGGCATTGACATGTAAAACAATCTTGTTTCTAATTCAAATAAAAAAAAGAAAAAATTAAAATTAGAAATGAAAAGAATGATTTACGCTTAATGGTTTGAATAGATTATTTAGAACATTTACTACATTTTAGATACCAACTAATCATTTCCTTATTCTTCTTACACTTTTAATTAACTTTATCGCAAAAAAAAAAAACCTTGGAAATAAAAACATCAGACAATGAAATTAACCAGACTCAAAGTCTATACATTCAGTGAACTTCCACTGAAGGGACCGGCTCCCCATTTCGGCAGCCATAACAGCCTAACACGTGCTTGCCTGATCGTGCCTTGGTTACTAGGAGGTCAGATGCCTGCCTCGTTGTGGCAAGGAACCAATCAGAAGTTAGCTAGTGGCGCTATGCTTTACAGCTCTGGGTGTGCTTTACGGACAAGTGCACAGCAATGACTCAAAGAACATAACAATTGCCCTGGGAGGGCCTATGGGCCATAACAACCAGGTATGCCTCCAAGCCTGGAGGCACACCAATCCTGAGCCTGTAGGTACCCCTAGACACTCCCCTTACGCTGCCCTATAAGATCTCTATGCTGTGGTTTCTTGGTGTCTTTCCCAGCCATCTGCCATGGTGAATGGATGAAAGGTCAGAGCTAACATGGGGTTAGCTCATTAAACAACTGCAATAAAACCTCTTGCTTTTTGCATCAAGTTTTTCCCTCCGCCTGGTGATTGGGGTCGCACTGGTCCTGGGCAGAGATCCTGGGGGCCTGAGCCTCAGGGGGTCTTTCACCACAGTTAAAATAGCTATTCTGAAGCTGTGTCACACTGAGTTCAGTATTAAGACATAGGGAACCACTTACACAGCCAATCCAGGAATTTCTTCTGCT